GAGAGAGAGAGAGAGAGAGAGAGAGAGAGAGAGAGAGAGAGAGAGAGAGAGAGAGAGAGATATTAGCCTGGAGAGGACTTGCATCCTTATCCACCGGCCCCATCAGGCTCTTCTAAAGGGCTTTTTATAGGAATGCCAAGGGGTGGAGCAAAAGACCTCCTCCTAGCACAGCCATGTGTAGACCCTTCCAATCACCTGGTGACCAGGCACGTGGTCAAGCCATCCTCTAATGCAGCCCTGCTGGGTAAAGCAAGCTCAGATCTCACTAGGAAACCTTTGTGGGCCCCCACGAAGGAACAAGAAGTGACACGTGTGTTGGTAGCAGTCAACAGCTGTCGGATAGGACTCAAGAACCTCTCGACAGGAGAGAAATCATTTCTGGTGCTGGAAACTTTGTCAAGTGCCCAGGAATAGTGAGATCGTGGATTTTAGAAAAGCACCTACCACTGCAGCTTGGCTAGGCCGGCACAATTCCTGCCTACACTCTAAAGCTTATCTTTCTAACCACAGATGAGTACAGGCAGAACCCCCTCCCGAGAAAAAGCTTCTCTTTATAGCAGACGGAAACCATCACAGAAGGACCACAACTGGAGACAAGGAAGAGAACAACAGATCGTGTGGCCCAGGCCCCAAAGGACACATCTACATGTCAGCTGCATCTAGGGACCAGGGAACATCTCTGAAGAGGGTGTGGATGAAACAGCTGTCCCCTTTTATAACAGGACAGAACCTAACAGGGCCAGTTGTTGGTTTGTTTGTTTGTTTGTTTGTTTGTTTGTTTATTTTTGCTTTTTTCCAGGGACCAGTTTGCTAAGACCTCTGCCCCATATCACCCCACTATCCTTTGTTGATGCATGTCTGGCTTCAATCAGACCCTCAAGAAGTATGTCTAGTCTGGTAGCCAATCCTACCCAGCCACAAGCAGGACCTGTTCTTGCTATTTTCAGCCAAAAAGACCCCTGACACTTGCAACCACAGTTGGTGACCAGATGTCATGAGCCAATCATAAAACGATTTTTGTACCAGTAAGGGTCTAGACCCAATCACTTCAAAGTACACTTAACCACAGCTGAAATTCCCCTAATCCTGTTCAAAGGGAGCCTACAAGCTTCTCTCTCAGGATCTCTATTGGCCACTTTGTCATATGGTTTGACCCCAGCATGCTGGAATTTTTTGTTAAACACTCTTGCTGATTGCATATGTGTCTGGTGGCCTTTTGTGGGACTTCTCGAGGACCATAACATGGAAGGGTACTAAAAGCCAGAATACCAGGAATTCTGCTGTGAAACTTTCTCTGCTATAAACAGTTGAATTAACAAGATGGGGGGAAAAACTGGAAATATCCATGGACATGTTAACACGGAACGGGAAATTTATGTAGAGTCCCACCCCTGAGCAACGACCACAGCAAACTAAGGCGTGCATGGAGAAGGAGAAATAACCCCATCCAGGGAAGAGTGACACCCTGATTGGCTGTTCAGTGCAGAATGGACAGCCCTGAAAACATCTATACACACACAAGAAAAGGGAACTCATCAGGTTGTGTGCGTGTGTGTGTACATCATATACATATGCAGATATCAATAGTAATCAAAGTAAAAGGCTATAAACTTGGGTGGGTGGGTCTCTAGAAGGGTGTAAGGGAGAGCAGGTGGGAGGGGCTAGGGGGAGGAAAAGAGGAGGGAAAATGATGTAGGTTGATGACAGCTGACAACAGGGAAATGTGTTGAGACAGCACCTGATATGTAAAGAACATCGTTAAACATCTGGATCTGAGTTGGGATTTTCCTTCAAATTCAACAGAGAACTGAACTTCCTACATTTTACAGTCAGGACCAGACGTTACTGTAAATGAATCGTTGATTATGATTCATCGGAATCCTTCTCGATATCAATTATGTCATTATTCTCTTGGTTGAGGACCATTTCTTTTTACTTTTCATCACATGTTCTGAAGATGATTTGAGATGTTTCCATCCATAGTTTCAACTGAGTCACTCCCAACAGCTCTCTTTCCTCAATGCCGTGGCTCTGGGAGGTAGTGTCTGCCAAACTGACTCTGTGCAGAGAAAAATACGGAGACAAGCAGAAACAGAGGAAAGGGTGGAAGAGTCCATTGTTTTACGTGGGGAATGTGTGACTCTAAGGACAAAACATGCAGCAGAATAAAGGACAAATAGCTTCATGGATATAAAGTTGTACTTGCCTTGAATGGTGTTGCCTGGGCTTTTCGCCTTCTAGCAAAACCTTAGCTTAAGGTCAACCATCAGAGTGAGAGAAAGCTCTCAGAACGCAACATGTTCTTAGACAAAGATCTCGTGTGGCAGAATCCTGGGTATTTTTACTGTGTGACCATGGAATTCATAGTTACTACCCTTGGTTGAGTTCTGAATACAAGATCAAAAGGAGCCCGTAAGGCTCACATCACTCATAAGATTCATATAAAATAAAAAATCAAGGGAATATGAAAGAAATGAAAAAAATGGATCTCACACAGTTCAAAATAAACAGATACAGCACTATATAACAGACATTAATGTAGAAGTTGTTGAAACTTTTTAAAAAGATTTATTTATTTATTATGTACACAGAAGAGGGCGCCAGATCTCATTAAAGATAGTTGTGAGCCACCACGTGGGTGCTGGGAATTGAACTCAGGACCTCTGGAAGAGCAGTTGGTGTTCTTAACCTCTGAGCCATCTCTCCAGCCCTGAAATATTTTTATTTCTTTAATTTTAAGACATTATATTAATCATATCATTTGCTCCTTACCTTTCCTCCTTCTGTACCATCCTGTATTTCCTCCTTTTTCTGTCATAATTTAGGACTTTGTTAAATCAATTGTTGTCACATTGAAAATTGGGAAAATTTGCCGGGCGGTGGTGGCGCACGCCTTTAATCCCAGCACTCGGGAGGCAGAGCCAGGTGGGTCTCTATGAGTTCAAGGCCAGCCTGGGCTACCAAGTGAGCTCCAGGAAAGGCACAAAGCTACACAGAGAAACCCTGTCTCGAAAAATAAAAATAAATAAAAAAAAAAAAAAGAAAAAAAGAAAATTGGGAAAATTTGATGAACTAACATATCTGTTTTGTGGTTATTTTAGAAAGGTAGATAGATGATAGACAGATAGTAGGTAGGTAGGTAGGTAGGTAGGTAGGTAGATACAAGGGAACTGGAATGAATGCATTAAAAGTGTGCGATAAAGCTTTTCAGAAAACCAAATTCTTAGGCCAGGCAGTGGTGGCGCATGCCTTTAATTCCAGCACTTGGGGGACAGAGCCAGACGGATCTCTGTGAGTTCAAGGCCAGCCTGGTCTACAGAGTGAGATCCAGGACAGGCACCAGTACTATGCAGAGAAGCCCTGTCTTGAGAAAAAAAAAAAGAAAGAAAGAAAAGAAAACCAAATCCTTAACTAAGTTTGTGCATATGCTTATATTCCAGCAAAGACACGGGGAAATCCATGGAGCATTAATGCCATAGAGAAGAGGAAGACGAGGGAAGAAGGAATATTTACAAACTGTCCTGATTAGATTCCAACCTGAACGGATGAGGCAAATTGCCAAGGATTGTACATGAAGCCAAAGCCCCAGGGAACGGTCGAGGTTGGGGACTCTGAGGTGATTTCTCACTCAGACTCAGCTGAACATCACAGAGTGTTTACTTTTCAGACTCTCATGGTTGATTCAGCTTTGTACTCTTTAAACCTCAGTGTGTAGATATTAATTTGGGAATGTTAAAAATACACTGAATACTGGAAAATATAAAGGAGACAGTTGTCAGTGGATATCTAGAAGGATTTTGATAAGCACAAGAGAAAAATGGTATTTATCATAAACACATTTCTGGAGAGAAATGGCTATCTACAATCAAAAATTTCAGACTCATTTCCCCCAATACACTTGTAGGGGCCGAAATGACTCAAGGTCAGAGTCTGAGCTTGCTTTACCCAGCAGGGCTGCATAATAGGATGATTTGGTCACGGGCACAGTTACCAGGTGTTCTGAAGGGTCTACACTTGGCTGTGTGTTGTGCTTTTGATCTTGAAAGGGGGAAGTCTCCCCCCACCCATTGTATAAAGGGCCCTTTGGAATAAACCTCAAGGCGACCGGGTATTGACCCAGGGCCCTCCCGAAGCTATTCAGTGTCTCTGTCTTTCTTACTGTCTCTGTCTTTCTTTCTGTCATGTCCTCATTCCTCTCTCTTCCTCCCAAGAACCCTTCGGCAGGTTGGAGCTGGACTCTGACAGACTCCCCCACACACTAGAGCTATATCTAGATGAGCCATGGATCTATGTGTTTAAGAAGGGAGTAGAAGAAACCTTAGAAGGACTGATCAAGTCTAAGAACTTGGACATTTTAGCCATAGGAATTCCTTTAGGGAAAACATCAAGGAGCGAACGTTTTATTCTAGGATTTACAAAGAGGTGGAGAGGAGAGGTTTACTTTATTAACCTTTAGATATTTGGGATTCTGAGACATGGTGGTAAATCAGTAAATAGAAAATGGGTATGCTTTTACTCCACCATACACACTGGGAATGTCCAGGGCGTCTTCCTGCCATACAGAAGAGGAAAGATGATGGAAAGAGAAAACAATAAAATAAATTGATTCTGATGTGACATCAACCTGAATGGATGGTGATAAGTGACTTTGATGATACGGGAATCCTAATCTAAAGGCACTGCTTGAGGTTGGGATTCTGAAATGATTTGTCACTCAACTGAAAATTAAAGAGTATTGGTTTTCTGAATAACCCTGGTCGATTCACTCTGGTGCTGTTTAGTCGTAATTTGTATTTAACTGAAAGCATATCCTTTCATAATGTAGCATGGTCCAGATGTAGCTATTCATTTGGGAATAGGAAAAATAAACTTTTATTGAAAATGTCAAGGAGCACATTGATGGTGGATATTCTGTGCAGAAGTATTTTGATAAACATTTGGGAGTTAAAAAAGTTACTCCTTGCAACATATTTATTTTTCAGGGAAAAAAATGAGTATGTGTAATCAGAAACTCCTGAGTCACTTTCCACAGTACATAGAGCTACATCCAGGAAAACCTGAGATGCATATATATTGAAGAGGCAAACACTGGAAAAGATTTAGAACTGGTCACCTGAAGCTTTAACATCTTGAATATAAAATAGAGGGAAAATGTTTTAGGAAAATCACCACTGAATGTCTGCATTGTCCTATGAAGGGGAGAGAGAGACAGAGAGACAGAGAGACAGAGAGACAGAGAGACAGAGAGAGGCAGAGGCACAGCAGTAAACTTGATCAAAATTTAGATATTTGGGACTTTGAGCTACACTGAAGAAATAGTTGATAGAAAAGTCATATATTTGGGAAGATATTTAAATACATTATTTATGATAGCACATGTATTCAGAATGGGTAGTGAAATCCCTAATGTCATTAACAAAAGTGAACACAGCTAAGATAAATGAGTAATGATTTGAACAGAGGGCTATAGAAAATAATAAAATGGAGCAGTCATGTAACAAGTCACTTTATTCCTTCTGAAAATATAAAATAAAACTGGAAACCATGATAAACACACATTGCAATGTTTCTGTGCTCCAAGGCTGAGTATTGGCAAAATGGTGGAGGCAATTGAATTCTCACACCGGTGTTTGGAAACTGTGAAATCATGCAGGCGACTTCTTCTGTTCGTATTGATCCTGAGCATCAAGCCAAGATCCACAGTAGCTGAGTTCTTGAGAGACAGAAACCAGTGAATCATCCAGTTGGTTTGAAAAGGTCAGCCAGCGGAAAAGTGTATCATCAGTCTGTGATTGGATTATGAAGTGGATTCTGTGCTCATTCTTATTGACTGGTAACAGAAAACCAAAGCACATGAAGGAAGCCTGAAAACCAGTGTCCCTTCCACTCTTATTTTTTTTTTTTTATTTCTACAGTTTGGGAGAACACACACATTCCACGAGCATCATTTAAAGAGAAGATTGAGTCTTGGTCAGGGTGGAGGAATGCATGGAAGAAAGAGTCTGTGAACCTGAATGCACAGACTGTCTCAGAATTTCAAATTTCATTCCATACTCTACAACTGGTGGCTTTTCATGGATCTCTCCAATAATGTGCTTTTATTTTTAAAAAATTGGTTGTTGACAGTCTCATGCATATATAAAGTATTCTGATAAATCTTGGTTGTTGACAATCTCACGCATATATAAAGTATTCTGATAATTCTTCTCTCTAATGTCTAGCATTTTCATCTCAGTCTTGTCAAAACCCCTCCACCAAGTCCCCTTCCCAGTATCATTTATTTTCATTTTATTTGTGGCCCTATGACGTTAACCAGGGCTATGTGTGTGCCCTTAGCTTTGGAACTAACTCTTGGGCCCTAATGGCCTCACAAGTGGGAATAATGGAGAAGGTTTCCTATCCCAAACCTACCAGTGGCCCACCCTAGTTCAGAAAGGAAGTGTGCAATCCCATGAGCCAGGTCCTCTTCCATAACCTTCAGAAGACAGGAAATGGCTAGTTTAGGCCCAGTGTAAGCAAACAAGCTAGCTGTGGATGAATATCCGGAATACATAACAAGTTTTAAACCCAAAGTGTCAGAAAACACACAGTCCTGTAGTGGTATTTCTCCTCCCAT